AATTTTTTGGCAGTCTGGGAAGTTGTAACAAGTCCAGTGTAAAATTAAAATTTGATAACATTGGTTTGTGTTTAGAATTTCCAGTAATAGTAATACTCTGTTTTCTTCTCATATAATCTCAACTGTTCTGCCAGTATACTTATATTCTTTTTTCACTTGCTCTTGGAGTTTTCTATGTCATAAACTCCAAAGTGACATTTTTAGGGACTGCCTTGTAATTTATCTGATTACCACCATGAAGGTGGCATTAGTTAATGCCAGGTGTTTAAACTTACTCTAGATGCCATTAGCAAATGTCTTCATTAATTATTTTGATATTTAAGGACTCCACAGGTATTATCAAATTTGCTTCCTCTGTTTTTTGTGCAGTCAAGAACAGGATTTGGCCAAAACTGAGAGGAGAGCCAAGCTTAAGACAAATCCTCATCCAGTGACTTGGCTGTGAGACTGAATTTATCAAAGCTCTGAATTCTCTCAGGTTTAAGAAATGTTCTGCCCTTATCTGTCCCTGTGAGCTCTTTAGGTTTCTTTTACAACTGCTTACCAAACACATTTGTTGTTTTAGGGATATGTAAACATCTCTGAATGTCAGGAATTGCACACATTTTAATGGCCTGCCCTCATGACAGCTGTCCACATTTAATTGGGCTTTGAGAACAAGAACAAATTCACACACACTTGTGGAATGTCAGTAACAATGTCAGTAATGATAGAAAAATAATAAACACTGCTCTGAAAATGACAGTATGATAATGTTACATTATTAAGAGATATGAATTCAGTTTAAGAAACAAAACAAAAATGAAAGGATTAAGTAGCTGCAAAAATTTAGGGCAGTGCGCATTTTTACATTGAACTGATACAGACAGCAAAGCATCTGAAATGTTACATTGGTTTCCCAAATGATGGGAAAGAAATACATTTAATGCTATAAAAAGAAGGCTTTTAGCTTGAGTGCCTTTTTTTTCCATGTTTCACGAGCCTGTTGAAAATTCAGAAGATTAAGCAAAATTTTATAGCAATAGCAAAATGGGATTTTCAAAGGATTGCACAAAAATTTGCCTTGTTGGCTGTTACCAGCATGGTGTGAAAGCATGTGGGACAGCAGTGATTTCAACAGGCAATTGCTGTATTTTCTTGCTTGTATTGGAGCACAAAATCCCTTTTAGAATCACAGATACTCTTAAAAAACTGCAGTTCTTCTCCAGCTGGGACAGAGAGCTGGTTCAGGCCTTGATTTCTGAAAGATCATCTGCTGCCTGTGGATAGACAGGCACAAATCAAAGTCAACATCTGTGCATGGATAATCTTGAACCATTTTCCATCCTGTTGCAATAGGAGCATATGCTCTCTGCCTCTGCCAGGCAAAGCACTGAGATAAATGGCATGGTGCAGATCTGGGTAGGAACTGAGGCTGATGAAGTTTAGGAGGAAAATCCTCTAGGTGGCAATAAGAAACAGAATTGTGGAGTTTGTTTTTCCTACCACTTTCTTCTATTCCAAATTTCACTTTTGCAGTGTCACACTTCTTTCTCTGGGAGTTGAGCTGGTGGGGGGGCAACTCTATGGAAACTTTTCTCTGCAGTTTCTCTATTGACTCCAATAAAACAGCAAAGTGTGGGATATTACAGGGAGTCATGATGGAGATACTGTGCCATGCTCCAGAACTGCATTTACCTCCTTTTTTAACAAAAATGACTGGGTCACACTGCAGAAATTACTGGTGATACATCCTGTGCATGGTGCACATAAGTGTTAAAGTGCAGGAAAAGACATTTATTCTTAGTCATGCATATTTAGTCTGTCAGAGAAATCAGGCACTGCCCTTTGATAGTGTTCTCCAGCAGAATTAGCTGGGGATAGAACTTTTGTGCCCTGTTTTGAGTAAGGAAGGGACACCTGTGGACTCTGACAGGGCAGCTGAAGATGGTTTTATCTGCTGTAACAGTATGAACACTCAGTGAAGTTATTGCAGTAGTAGTTTGCTGCTGTTCAAAGAAGTTGGTATGAAGTCTGTGCACTGCTTGAATATTATTTAAATTCTCAAAAGTGAGTTTTCATGGAATTGAAAAGGTACATAAATTACATACCTGCCTATTACAGGTACAGAGTTGAATTTAGATCTACATTTCTCAAAAGGCCAGCCCTTCCTTCATTTTGAACTAGTCCTCTCTGTTTCTTCTCCTCTCTCTTCCTAGGTGCCCGTACTGTGCATAAATGTGCATGATTTTGCATAGAATATATATATTTGCATAATATTACATAAGCACCGGGTCTGTTTTCCCTTAACACCCACTTGAGGCATTCAGCATTTCCATCTCATACCTAAGTGTTTTGTGTGCAGCTCTATTCATTCCCCAGCCTCTTTATCCACCCACTCAGCCCTCAGCCTCAATCCCCAGTTCCCTGAGCTCGCTCCACATGCGTTCACCTGTTTGTTTTACATATTCCATGTACCCCCACTAATTGGAGATCCTTGTGCAGCTCCATCTGTGTGCTCGCCCTTCCTCTGGTCTTTTATGCAGCAGAGTGAGGATGCTGGGATGTGGATGTGTGTGGGAGGTGTGGAGAAGGAGGGAGCTGAGCTAAGGAGGACCTGCTGCATATCCATGGATTTGTAGTGGGAAAAGTGTGCAGAGAGGCCTGGAAAAGGCAGGGATGCTGCAGGTCAGGAGATTTTTGGCCCAGGGAGATGCTGAGGACTGGGGTTTAGCCTCACTGCTGCCGTGTCTCAGGAAGCTACTGCCTCTTCCTCCTCTTCCTCACCTTCCTCCCTGCCCTAGGAATGTGCTGGATGTGGGATTGCAGTGCAGGCTCTACAAGCTCCCTGCTCCAGGGCAGAGAAGGAGCCCCAGCCTTTGGCAGTGTCATCACTGGGTGCCCTTGGGTGAATATGGAAATGTGAACTCCTCACTCTCCCCTTCAGGGATTTTCTTGGCTCCCTCCCTCTCACCCCCAGTATTTTGCAGGTACTCCCCAGCTCCAGTGCCACTGATCTCAAGTAGGCTAAAGCTCCCAGCACCATTTATTTTGTAACTCAGTGTTAACTCACCAGATACAACAGTGTGTTGTTGCACTGATTTTAGTACATTTGAGCATTACCTGTGCATCAAGTCAGGTTTGATTATTTATGGTGCTGGTCCTGGGGAGGTGTAGCTCTGGTTTCACATACACAGAATGCTAAATGCAAAGTGCTTTGACACTCAAGAGCTCTCATTTCCTTATCAGCACATCTGTCATCATTGAAAGGGAGAGGAGATTTGGCATAAGGCATTTATTCCTTAACCAGTTTCAGTGACTGATGTCTAGGCAGAGTATTACCTGGGAGAAGGTTGGTGGCATAACCATGACAATTTTTGTAAGAAAACAAAAACCAAATAATCCAAACCCCCCTCAAAAAACCAAAACCCAATCCAGCCAAACCAAAACACCCCACAACAACAACAAACCAGACAAAATCCCACCCCCTGAAAAAACCCAAACAATCAAAAAAGTTTAAACTACAGCAAAACTATTAAATAGCCTAATTTAGGGCAAGGGAGCTCCCTTGTATTTTAGAACAAAGTAAAGACATCTAAGACCATCTGTTTTCCAGAAAAAGGAGTAATGTTTCTACTACATTATTGCACAAAACATGAAAAAAATTTATCAGAGTTTTCCCTTTTTTCTGAAGGTACTTTCTCTGGTTTTCGTCTAACCAGTAACACTTTAGGACCAGTAATTTAAAAAACTCTCAACAGAGGTAAAGGACACAAATCACTGAAAGAATTTGTAACTCAAATTTAATTAATATTGGAATAGACCAACATGAATCTTGGTTCAATAGCCACAGGCAAAATTTAATTTTAAAAATGTATTTCCATTTGCAGAAGGGCTGAATAATCAGAAAAAAAGTGTGCATAGGAAGTGTTCATTATGTGATTGAGTTATACTCAATACATGAGTGGACAAGGCATGTCTGAACTGTTGATACTTTCAATTAATGTGTAAATACCTGCTTTCCCTGAAATAGTATTTTAAATGTGTCTAATAAAAACTATCAAAAAAAAATCAAAACAATCAGTGTTTGCTTTTGCAGGTATTGCAAATCCTAGAAACAGCACCAAATTGCTGGATTTTATATACAGAATAAAATGCCTTTGTAGTTTTTGTAAGGGATCTTTTCCTTTGCAATTAGAATAAAAGCAAGGATTTGGGAAGGGTACTTACAGAAGAGTTATGCAAAACTCAGATTTTTCCATGTGTGAGCCTGTTACACTCTCTTAAGATGACAGATTCAGTTCAGCAATAGGAAAGAAACAAAAAATCTTAATTCAGTGCATGCATGAGCATAAGTTTTTGAGTCCTGGAGAGATTACATTTGCCATTAATAGGTGTATTCTCTTAGAGTTATCCCTGGCACAGGGTGGGGTGAGACTGAGAGACTTTATACACTTTAAAGTGTGAGACTTGAACAGTCCTGATCCTCCACTCTTGGGGCTGCCCTTAAATCCCTGGATCCTGGTCTGAGTGACACAGGAGAAAACCCAACATGTACAAGCACTGAGGCTGGATTGTGGTAATTTATGGAAGAAATAGGTGCATTTTCTTTGGATAGGCTTCTCTTCCAAGAGGATACTGAGTCACTGAATGTACTTTGTATCTGGATCCCCTCAAAAAAATGCATACTTAGGTAAAGTAGCTTTTAAATGCTGCCTGGGTGAGGGTCATAGAGAGAGAAAAAAATACGTGACAGATGGTAACTTAGAGTTGATTTGAAATGTATATTAAAACCTCCATGGTTTGGAACTGTCAGGTCAGGAACTTTTATTGTTATTGTAGTTACCCAAAGGAGAGGAGCTCCAGAGAGAGGGAACATGAAGATGTGGTGCTTAGGGGCAGGGTTTAGTGGTGGGCTTGGCAGTGCTGGATTCATGATTGCACTTGATAATTTTAACGATCTTTTCCAAGCAAAACAATGCTGTGATTTTTTATCTGTAACAGTCCTTTTCTTTTGGCAGGTGATTGGAAAGGATGATGTGGCTGTCCCATCCCACCTGTACAAGGTGATCCTGGCCAGGAGGAGCAGAACATCCTCAGAGCCCCTGGTGCTGGGCGCTTTCGTGGTGCCAAACGATCCCATCGGCTTCAGCCACCAGCTCACTGACTTCCAAGTCAGCATTGAAGACCTGGAAAAAATGTCAGGTTTAGTTTTCTTCCCTCAGGTGGACAAGACCAAAGATGTTAAAAACATCTGTGAGGTGGATACCTGCAAACTGATGGGCTTCAAGGAGTTCACTCTGTACATCACCGCCCGCAAAGTGCAGAGCGCCCGCACGCTGCGCCGGCTGGAGAAAGCCATGGCAGAGCTGCAGGAGGCAGGAATTGAGCCTGATGAGTATCTCCTCAAGCTTTACAAGAAGAAGGAGGAAGAATTACTGCAGGAAAAACCAGTAGCAGCTAGAGAGGGGAGAGCTGGTTGAGTATTCAGGAGGTTGTTTGGGTTTTTGGAAAGGGGAACTGAAGGCAGACACAAAGACAAGGACTCTTTGAATCATCCTTTTTGGAGTTGTGAGAACAATAAAGAAATATTTGAAATCTGATGGGCTTGGAATAATGCTCATTCTTGTGCAAACACATGGTTTGCTGCACTGCTTAGACATGGGAAGTGTAAATGAGCCTTTTCTGGCCTGAGTAGATCACTGGACCTCCAGGAAAGGCTTTGTGCTATTTTCCACCTGGCACGTCAGGCTTAGGATTTGTGTGGAATCCCTTCTAGGAATATCACAGAAATAGACAGTAGACACCTTGGGAGTACAGCTGGAACGTGTTTAAATGGAATTCCACCCACAAATCTCTCTACTGCAGTGCTGTAGAAGCAATTGTATTTTCTGGAATATTTTGAAAATTAATTTTAAAGTATTTCATTTAACACTCTCTTATTAGAGACATGTAAGACATAATCTGGTCTTCCCTTAGTTGTATTAACCAAAACCTCTCCTGATCTTGTGTGCTTTGGATACTTCAGCATGTCAGGAGCTCACAATTGGTATCATTTGCATCAAACTTAGTTCATCATGTATAATTCTGCAATTTTTGCAAGAAAACTCCAATAGAACTAAAGTTTAATCAAGTGCCTACCAGTGTAGTTTGGGTTTTCACAAATGAATGTAAGCTTAATTTTTAATTTTCACCACTAAGTTTGGATAAACATGTTTTCTTGCATATTGTTTGATCTCAGAGGTGAGCATTACTTTCTTTTTGGTTGTTGTAGTCACTGGCTTTTTTCTTGATATCTGCCTTTGGACTATAAACTGTGCAACAAAACTTGTATATTGACTGAAAATGCATTTCCAGTTCTTTTTCAGTGGCAACTGATGTTTATTGGATTTGCATCTACTTGGAAGATTAAATGAATTTTTTCATTTGTTTCGTGCTTTATTTGTGCAACTTACTGTTACTGAAATCTTACATCTGGAAAGAAAGAGTAAAATCTGGAAATATTTAGAATTTTTTTTGATAGTGAGAATTGATAGACATTTGGATAAAGACACCTTCAGTAGTTTTCACATGAAAGAAGGGTCATGTAGTGCCTGGCTGAATGGGGCTGTTTCCATAAAGGATGAGTCAGGAGCATTATTTGGATGCTGTGAATCATCAGCTGCAGGTTCTCAGAACTCTGGTTTCCTTCTCTGCTCAGTTGCAGTATCCCAAAGCAGATCACTTCATAAAGCAAGCCATGGTTCCCACGACACTTTTGTGTTTGCCAAGAGCATGTACTCAAAATCCAGACATTTAAATCCAGAGAAATGTCACTAGCTAAGGACATCATAAAAGCCTGCTGCTCACATGAATTGGAGAGAAGTTGTGTGAAATCCTGACAAAATGTTTGCTCATTTCAATTTTAGCCCAGAATTGTGGTTGTAAATCCTATCAGATGTAACAAAAGTAGTAAATTACAAAACAAGAAGCAACATTTCCCTTTGCAGATGTGGGAGGTGTTGGAAGGCTGGGGTTGCTTGGAATAACAAAATGCCAAATTGTTCATGTGTCTCTTGGTGGTCCAGTGAGTGCTTCACTGGAGTCCAGGCAGCCTTTGGGCACTGCCATGGTGTCACCCTTTGAAACAGTTCCTGTCCACTGCCCTTTGCATTTTCTTTTTCCACATTATTTAAATTATGTTTTTTTAATTCAACTTTCCACCTTCCTCCTCACCCTTCAGGTGAGAGGTACACATCTCCCCTGTGGTGCTCACACGCCCTTGGATTGCTGAAGAAGATCTCAGTGCTACAGATCTGGGTCCATCCATAGCAAAACCTGACTTGGGACAGTGCCAGGTGTGGTGAGGAGCTCCAGATGTGCGTGAGGAGCTCCATACGTGTCTGAGGAGCTCCAGGTGTGTCTGAAGAGCTCCAGGTGTGTGTGAGGAGCTCCAGGTGTGCATGAGAAGCTCCAGGTGTGCATGAGAAGCTCCAGGTGTGCACAAAGAGCTCCAGGTGTGTGTGAGGAGCTCCAGATGTGTGTGAGGAGCTCCAGGGGGTGTGTGAGGAGCTCCAGGTGTGCATGAGGTGCTCCAGGTGTGTGTGGGGAGCTCCAAGTGTGTGTGAGGCGCTCCAGATGTGTCTGAAGAGCTTTAGGTGCATGTGAAGATCTCCAGGTGTGCATGAGGTGCTCCAGGTGTGCATGAAGAGCTCCAGATATGTGTGAGGAGCTCCAGGTGTGTCTGAAGAGCTTCAAGTGCATGTGAGGAGCTCCAGGTGTGTGTGAGGAGCTCTAAGTGTGCATGAGGAGCTCCAGATGTGTGTCAGGAGCTCCAGGTGTGTGCGTGAGGAGTTTCAGGTGCATATGAGGAGCTGCAGGTACCATCCCTTGCTGCTGACAGCTCACCTCGGTGACAGCAGCACAAGCGCTCAGTGCATTCCTGTGGAGCCCTGCTATGCAGACAGCTGCTCCCTAAGAGAACCTCTTCAGGCCTTACATGCCCCCTTGCATTCCTGGGAGCCCCAGTTACCATAATTTCCATGCCTTGTGGCTTACAGCATGGCCTGGGATCGTTTTCAGCCCTGTTTGAGCGTGGTTGGTGTTCCTCAGCTCCCCTCAGAGGGCAGCAGCAGGTGGTGAACCGTGAAACCTCTTCCAGAGCTGCTCTGTGCCAAAGAGAACATTCACCTGCTCCCCTCCTGCTGCTTTCCTGATCTCAATTAACTCTGGAGTCTGGCATGGAGCAGAAAAATGTGCTTTCTTTACAGTAGGAAATACAAGATGAGTAATAGCAAAAGGGTGAGGCTTTACACACTTGTTTGAATAATTGATTGAAGGTCTGTGAGAACTGTGCTGGTGTCTGTGTCCATCTGTCATTCCTGTGACACAATTAATCACCTGCATCTACAGTGACAGTGGGAACAAACCTCTGTGCTGCAGCTGAACAGCAGGAGTCCTGGAAATGGAGAAATTTGGTTTTTTTGTACTTCCACTGTTCTTCTATGCTTGTTTTAGAAGATAAATAACCAAATCACAGGGGAAAGTTGACAGCTAGGCTGTCCACAGACCCATGGTGTTCTCCTGGCTGGCTGCTCTTGATTGTTCCTGCTGGGCTGATGAGAGACAAGAGGCAGATGGGAAGGGAATGAGCTGGCCAGGGTGAGCTGCTGCTGAGCTCATGGACTTGGGGTTGTGCTCTGTGCACTTTAGTGTTTGGCCTTTTGAGGGCAGACTCCTTCCACAGTGTCAGCCCTGGCAGACAAAAATGATGGGGGACATGGCTCGAGTGTCTCTGGCCCATAATAACTGTATTTCTCTTTGTGATACTGAAATACCCGTTTAAAATGAGCTGGTTCAGGCATTCTATTGAAGCATTATATCAAGTGCAGTATGAAGCTAATGATTTTTCCTAGATAAGGGTTTTGACAGTAATGCCTGGGAGTGCATTCACTTTGACCCACCAAATTGGGTATCTGCTACAAAGACAATTTTGTCTCCAACTTCTTCATGAATTTCATTCTGGGTAAGGATTTAACTGAGGATTTAACCCTGCACTGATGTCTTGCAGTGCTGTTGATTTACTTCTATAAACACAATTGGGTGGCGGGGGGAGTGGAATTAAAAGTTCTCCTTATAATTTTTGTGTGGTTGGTTTATTTCAGAGCAATCAAATTTTCAATTTGTCCTGTAGTTTTAAAGATGGATCTTTGCTAATTGTGCCGAGTGCTGCACTAAACTATAGAGAAACAGTTTCTTGCTTGATAAGGTGATGTATATTAGATACACCAGGCAACAATGGGAGGGCAGAAGATACAAGATAACAAGATAACAAGATAACCAGAAATGCTTCTTCATGAATTTCATTCTAGGTGAGGATTTAACTGAGGATTTAACCCTGCACTGATGTCTTGCAGTGCTGTTGATTTACATCTATAAAGACAATTGGGTGGGGAGAGAGGGAGGTGGAATTAAAAGTTCTCATTTTTCTTTTTGTGTGGTTAGTTTATTTAGAGCAATTTTTAATTTGTCCTGTAGTTTTAAAGATGGATTTTTGCTAATTGTGTCTAGTGCTGCATTAAACTATGGAGAAATAGTTTCTTGCTTGATAAGGTGATGAATATTGGATGTAAAGCCTCATGTATATTGGTGTAAAGCCTCACCCCTTTGCTATTACTCATCTTGTATTTCCTACTGTAAAGAAAACACATTTTTTCTGCTCCATGCCAGACTCCACAGTCAATTGAGAACAATTGGAAGGGCAAAAGATACAACAAGATAACAAGAAATCTGAGTATTTCTTTCCTCAAGAAATCTGTTTCCATGCTTCTTCCAGTACACCCCCTGGTTTAGTGAGGAGTCCAAGCAGATGTGCTTTTACAGCCTTGTTTTATTTGGTTCATGGACTGGGATCCCCTGACCTTTCTGGGTGGAAACTCCCAGTTTGTGCAATTCCTGCCAAACTGGGCAGCTAGAGCCATGCTGTCCTGTTGCTTTGATTTTTTAAGATTTTCTAAGCTTTCTGATGTTTACATTTCTGTAATGAACTTTCTCACACACTTTCTGTAAATAACTTATTGTTTTGCATTCTTTTATAGAAGAAGAAAAATTTGACGGACTGTTGGTTTGTCCAGTGTCATTGGGGAGGTGGCACTTCCACCCTCCAATCTACTATTACTTTTAAAAAACTATAAATGTAGAAGTCAGAAAATAAACTTTCCTTTTTCTTCACCTTGAGAGCAGCAGTGTGTGCACTCGTGTTGTTTCATGTCCTATAGTGATGCTGTCCCTGGGGCTCTCACTGGAGACACAGCCCTGTCAGCCTCAGAGGATTTGAAAATCTCCTGCCTGCCAGGTGCCTTTGTCACCTGTGCTGGTGGGTACAGTGGGCTTGTGGAAGTACAGCAACCTTGCTTTGTCTGGTTTTGGTGGGAGGTCTCCATGGTGAGGCTGCTCTAAAGATGCTTCCCCAGGCTGGGCCAGCCAGGTGGGTAAGGCAGAGGACAGCAGAGGAACAGGTGGAGGGGATTTTTGGGGCAGTTTGCAGAACAGTGGCACCTCTGGCATCACCTGGGTCTCTTTATGTGTTTAACCTTTGCCAGCCTGGTGAAGGAAACCTCCTGTGCCCATCCTGGTGCCCATGTATTTAT